GATGAAAAAAGAAAGAAATATAAAAAGACTAAAATTATGTTATATACACTGAATTACCTCTGTAAAAAACAATCAGAAAACAGAATGCAATGTTTGAAAATTTATCCTGGAAATTAACTACATTTTGTACTATTCAACCAAGTAAAATGCATATGCTAGAAATAATATCTGCTGTCATAAACGTTCATGTTAAAATATGTGAAACATTTATCTCACTTATTAAGTGGATTCCAAGATACAGATATTATAATTATGATCGTTTGGAGAAAGACATCCTCAGCTGCCTGCAGTTGTGATAAAAACTTTCAACCTTGTCAGAAGCCAATTTTACTGTTGCTTCAACTATCATTGAAAAGACAGACTACACAACATTTTGCATGTTAATTTTTTTGAGTAATTTCACCTAGTATGTTAATAAGAAAAAATATTTCTAAGACAACATTCTAACTTATAAACCAACTTGCATTATCAATCACAAATTTATTATTTGTCCCTTTCATAAACGTTCTTTAATGTATATTTTGAAAATGCCAAACTGTATACAAAGAGTCATTCTTAGGCAAAAATAATTGTAAGAAATCAATGAAACATTTGACTGTTCAAAGGTAATGTAAGATTTTAAAAATTATGTTGTCACAATGCACTCTGTATAATACCTAGAATATTNAGTAATTTCACCTAGTATGTTAATAAGAAAATATTTCTAAGACAACATTCTAACTTATAAACCAACTTGCATTATTAATCGCAAATTTATTATTTGTCCCTTTCATAAATGTTCTTTAATGTATATTTTGAAAATGCCAAACTGTACACAAAGAGTCATTCTTAGGCAAAAATAATTGTAAGAAATCAATGAGACATTTGACTGTTCAAAGGTAATGTAAGGTTTTAAAAATTATGTTGTCACAATGCACTCTGTATAATACCTAGAATATTTAAGAAATTTGTTTACATTAAAATTGGCTGTTTTCAAATCTCAGAATGGAGTGTTTCCAGATTTATTTTGAGATTAGTATCTGACTCTTCGTTACATATTTGCTACCAACAAAATATGCATTACTAGTTTTTAAACAAACAAGCTTAAAAATAAATAAAGTCATGTCAAAGCCATTCAAATATATCCAAGATTTGAAAAATCTCTTGAACATTTGTTCATATCGCTAATACTGTGCATATTTAAAATCTTGGGATATATTATAATTGTTCAAAGCTTACAATTGAAGCAATTTCAATAGTGGGGTATATTGAATTGCTAGTGTAGTCATTGCCTTGGACAGAGATACACAAATAAAACTATGACCTTAGATGACTACTCTCTACCCACTTTAAGGGACCATTTAAAGCAAATAGGGACAGTGGAAGAGGCCTTGATTACGTAGAATTAATTATACCCACCAGAAGCTGGGTTCAAAAATCATTAGTAAAATAACAAGTGCTTTCAAGAGTTTAAAAATTATAATTCTACTCCCCAAACCTGAAAGTTATAAATAAAAATTATTTTCAAGTTAAAAAGGGAACTGACCATTATAGAGTCACAGTATATAGTTCATGCTGAGTTGAGGTTCTAAGGCAGAGCATGGGTCCCTGTGCTGGCTCTAGCTAGGTCTGCTGGTTACCCCCCCACGAGAGTGTACGTGCAGGTGCTGGAGTAAGCACTTAGAGTCTTGTAGGAGTTTGCCAAAGGGAGTTTACAACTTTCAATCTAATAATAAAGCAACTGGGGTTTATATTTTGTGTGTCTATTTTTTAAATTTCATTTTTCTAGTAGTGTATTTTTATTGTATTTACAAATGTATTGGTTCATGATGGATTAGATTAAAAATTCACCACAAATGGTTCTAAAGAACCTGATAATGTAGATTAAATGAAAGGATCATGTAAAATATTATGTATGCACTATTTGCAAATTGCTTAAAGGTCTATAAAGATAGCCAATATAGGAGGAAAATGCTCTTCTTAAAACAGGAGACAACAATATGAATTCAAAATCTGGTGCATGTGGGGTGGAACCTGTTAACCAGTTATATGAATTCATAAAACTAAAGTCTGTTTTAAAAGCTTTCCATCTTCCTTTATCAGTGGCTCAGTTTCTAAAATATATCAAAGATATAACCTTAGGAAGTATAGTGTTCTATGCCAATTGGTGATTTGGTAGCTAAAATCATTCTAAAGCTGAAGTACAAAATGCCCAAAGAATTTATCAGACATTAACTGTAGCATCTGCAAGAAAGTGACACATTTTTTGACAATAGCATGAGTTGGATGGGGGAAGAAAATTGAAGATGATCCCAACATCTCATGTCCATGTATAGAACCCACACTGAGAAGTCAAAAAATGTTAAATCATCCTTTCCCATAATTGCATCAGTAACTGTGCACTAAATGGAGATCACATAAAATTGAAAACAATAAAGTTAAATCATGAAATCTGATCTAATCTTCTCAGTACCACTGTCAAATCACAGGCTAAGTTTGTGTATGTATAATGCACTGATTATGTATCATTTAATACTCATGTTTACTGTTTCTGAATGTTATTATACTGTAACTCAGCTTCCAGGCAATAAGGCCAATCTCTGAGAAGTCAGTATAATTTCTAAAAATGACTACACTAATTGGATTAACCAACTAAAACATATGTTGGTCATTTAAATTACTTTGTTGATTTTACTGTTTTTCAGCCATAAGATCCATTGCTCAAAGATCAAGTTTCAGAGCTCTCATTCCATCAGGTGATATCGAGTATGAAATTACTACATGGTTTAGGGCCTTAGATGATTTTCCAGTATCAAAATTGTCCTTAATTTTATTTCTTTTCTCCTTTTGACATTCTTTGGACTACAGATCAAAATGGATGTGCTAATTGCTCTTTGGCCATGCAGAGTTCCTCAAACCTATCTTATAGAAAACCACTTCTCTTTCAGTGGTACTGATTTTTCTCTCTGAATTTTTCCTGCCAACTCATTTTCTTTCACCTCTCCTACCATCTCTACTTCACAGTGCCCTTTAAATATAGATCCCCACATGGTTCAATCCTAAGATTCTGGTTTAAATTTTAGAGCATTATGGGGCAGGTAACTCATTTCCTGATGTGTGTGTTTTTGAAACATAATTCACGAGCATGGTCCCCTCAATTTTAACCAGCACTTACTGAGATCCTGTCATGGCATAAGCAATTGTTCTGGATACTGAGGCTGCAAAGCTGACTATGCCAGAACTCCTGTGCTGGAGGAGCTCATAGCAACATAATTACATACTTGCACATCTAACAGGAATGACCCAGATATACAACGCACAATAACATAGACTGCATTAAATGCTCTAATACATGTAAACACTGCTTTGCACACTCGGGTGCAAGCTCCATCCCTCTGGTTTGAGACGAGGAAGTGGGCCCTTATGGCTATGGAACAGAGTTGGGAAGAGTATTCCTGGCAGAATAAAGTATTAAAGCCAAGAAAATGTATGATATATTTTTGGAGAAAGGTAATTAGTTTTGTGCAGGATTAAAATAGACTACATAGGAGGGGACGGAGCCTTGAAGAGGCTGGACATGAGACTTAAAAAAATAACAGTGACTAACTGGCAAACTACGTAGCCCCCTTCACTCAGGAGCCCGGAATAGGATTTCTGATTTACGAAGCAGCAGCATGAGTGATGATGGGCCCTCGCAGGAAGGAATATCACAGAAAGGACAGTGGGTCTCTCAAGAGCCCAAATCCGTAGGATTCAGAAAACTGATGTATCCATGCAACAGGCACTCTGAATCTCAGACCCCCTGGGAAAAGTTCAGTGACTCAATAGACCCTTTCCATAGCAAGGTTTCATGGAGCAGGAGTGAGGGAAGAAAAACGAACTGACTCTGGGTTCTGGGTTTAAGGGCCAGCTCTGACACTCTACAACTTTGAGCCAGTTATTTGTTTAGCATATCTATGCCTCAGTTTCTTCATTTATGAAATGGGAATTAATAATAGTCCCTAACTTACAAGGTTATGGAAACTAAATGAGAAGTAATGTGTACCAAGCAGTTACACTGCCTCTCACATAGCAAATGCTCAACAAATGTTATTCATTATTGTGTTAATGATGCATAGTTTTTGTCAATGCTTTTTATTAATCCATACTTTCATTACTAACGAATGTAAGAATGTGAAAAAGAAGCCAAGGAGAAACAAGCGATTCTGACTTTGCGTTTCATTTGAGACCAAGAGTTTTTTGGCCCTAAGCTTTTCCCTTCCCCCACCTATTCCCTCCCTGCCTTTAATCAGCTCATAGCTTTCTGATCACTCAGTATGTAACATTTCATACACCTCTTCCTTCGGAAAGAGTTGGTCACTTACACAGTCCTGTGAAAGCACACAGTGTTTCTTCCAGAGCTTGACTATTTGCTAAGTGTAACAAAAATGATTACTATGCTTGAGATGATAGTGTCACGACCTAAGCACATCTTACATTACGCATTAATTCACTAAACTTCCATAAAGTAGGCAGATAATGGCTATCATACTATTTCAGAAACACAGTTAAAGAAGCCAGAAGAAACCAAATTATTCACTGAGGTTCAAAGAAGAAACCAGTAACAACTCTGAATGTAGTACTCATATTTTTTAATAGCCTTTGCTCACTTTTCTTCCTCTAAGGCAGTGATTTTCAACGGGTGAGCTGCAAGAACTTTTAAAAGATGCACTATGTATTCAGGGGCACTATCTCTTTTCCTTTAGATTGTCAAATAAAAAAATAACAACAGCCAACACAACAATAGCTGTCTGCTGTGAATGAATCAAAATTATACCTATTTTTTTTGTCAGGCAAAAAATTTATTTTTTGGTGTGCTGCAGAATTTTGGTAATTAGTTTTTGTGTGCCATGAGATGAAAAAGGTTGAAAATCGCTGCTCTAAGGCATAAGGATTAATGTCGAAATTAAAAACAACATGAAAATTCCCTTTCATTGCCCATAAATTTATGCTTTCATATTTAAAAACCCCCACAAACATACCTTCACTGGCATGTCGGTCTCTAAATACGTTCTTGGGGTGGACACTGAATCCTTCTATATCATGAACAGAAGAAGCCCTCCGTATGCTACAGATGCTTTCCTTCGATCTGGAATGAGTCAGCTGGGAGGTTGACTGCAGCATGTCAGGGTAGAGTCTGTCCCATTGCCTTTTGGGAGAGGAATGGTCAAGAGGTCCAGATATATTCACCAAGGGGGAGCATTTGCTGGGCTGTATCAAGGCTTTTGTATCATCTGCTTCAGAGGGGCTGCAGCTTTCTTTTGTGGGAGACTTGAAGTGCTTCATGGCCACTGAATCGTCACTGTGCTTAGATGAGTCAATTACAACCACATCGGGGTCTTCTTGTGGTAAGGACTGCTTTCTGTAGGTGAGAACTCTCAGGCCAGGGAACTTGAACCCAAAAAGTTTCCCTAAAGTAAAGACAGAAAAGAGCATTATTAGAAGACAAAAGATATCTCTCTTAAAACAAACAAACATTTTGGCTCATATTTAAATGACATAAAAAGAGTTATTAATCAATACTTAATTTACAGTTCAAATGAGGGACATTGTAGAAACTTCTTTGAGAGTAAAACAAATGATTATAGAAGTGTAAAAAAGTAGTAAAATAATTTTACCATGTTTTTGATAGATATTCTCCAGGGACATGAAAACATTATTTGAATGACATGAGGGTTTTTGTTTTAATAAATTAAAAACATATATCCACTATACACCCATTCTTTAAGGGGATTTGAAGGATAGAGCATAGTTGAGAAAGAAAAAGAAGGGATGGGACACCATGTGTAAAAGGAACACAGAAAAGATTATAATGTATGCGAGTGTGTGTGTGTTGGAGGGCGACTGTACTGCCAGTAGGAGGGAAGGGAACGAGGTGGAGGTAAGGAGTTGTCCTGACATATCTAGAAGGTTTCTGTTGGATAATAATGTGAGTTGAGTGTGGATGGAAAAAGTGGGGTCAGGTGTGTATGAGATGTCTCTCATTCCATTTGGAATTCTTGCAAGACTTTTGGTTTCAGAGAGAGATGTATGGTAAAGATAGGAATTTCTTTTTCCTGATTTCTTTGTTCTAAAATCTAAGAATATGGCATAAAATGTTATATATATCTCAGAGTCAATGATGCTTAGAAGAGGCAAGTAAATATAAACATTAAAGGGTAGATAATAAAAATTAAAATATTAGCTAAGAAACACAAACTCACTGGTAGTAAAAATGCAAACTGAGACAAGATTATATCATTTTTTACTCTTCAATCTAGCAGTAAATGAAAAAAAAAAAGCATAACATCTAGTGCTGGCAAAGAATGCTGGAGAGCATTCTGACACTCCACTGGGGATTGCAAATTCCTACAAATTCTTTGGAAAGTCATTTTACAATATCTATTAAACAACAACAACAACACTTTTCACTTGACTCAGCAATTCTATTTATAGTATATTATAAGACACAAAAACTGGACATAATCAGAATGTCCATTAGATGAAGAATGGTTGAATAAATTATGGCATTATTATACTTTGAAGCCTTATGATATTCGGTAAAAAACAAGAATATGTATATGTTTTGATTAGAAGGTTACACAAATGTAGTGTTAAGTGAAAATGAAAGTTTCAGCTTAAATGTGTTTATGATAATATTTTTTCATTAAAAATAACAGAACCCTCTATTAGTCCATATAAGTTGTATAGCAGTAGAGAAAGATATGGAGGAACATACTCCAGACTTTTAATGTTGATTGGTTAAGCTTTTCTAAGAATTGTCTACAAGAAAATTCAGAGTTTCTAATTCTATTGCCAGCTCAGTAGCTTAGGTCCACGTCACCCTTGGCTTTACAATTACATGTCACCCTTCTAGTTAGTCAGCTGGTGTCTTTGGGTTATTTATCTTCTTACATTCTCTAAGTGTCATGGGCACCATTATCTTTAATATATTTACTATCAATTTTTCCTCAATGCATTGAAGATGGTCTTAAAACATGAAAGAAGACTGAAAACTTTTCTTCATTTTATTTGAGTATACTCTTCTAGTGGACGGTCTCATGCACACACATAGTTTCAATTCCATGTTTAATCCAGTGGCTCATAAATCTGTATCTCTAGCCCAGACCTTTTTTCTTAGTTCCAAACCTTAGTTCCATATTTAATGGTCTTATCAACATCTTCATTTAGAATTCTTAATGATGCCTCAAAATCCCATAGCAAATCCACTCTCATGGTCTATCTTTCCAAGCCCAGCCCTTTCTTTCAGTGAATGGCACTACAATCCATCTAGTCCTATTAGCCTGACCCTCAAAGGTCATGCTAGTTACTGTTCTCTCTCACTTCTATCCCCCCCCCCATATCTGATCATATCTAATTGTGTTCATTTCACCTCTGGAAAATCTTTTTAATGATAGTAATTCATAATAATCATTTTCACTTCTCTAACCTCCACTGCTCTCACTTTTGCTAAACTACTATCAGTTCACCTAATTTCTTGCAATAGGATGCTAATTACTTTCCACATTGCATCATATTGTCTTCTTTTGTTTTTTAATTTTTTTTTTAATCCCTTTACCTGAGGATATTTTTTTCCATTGCTTTTCAGAGAGAGTGGAAGGGAAGGAGGGAGGGGGAAGAGAGAGAGAGAGAAACATTGATGTGAGAGACACATCCACTGGTTGCCTCCCTCACATGCCCCTACAAGGGTGAGGAGCATTTTGCAACCCAGGTATGTGGCTTTGACCAGGAATCAAACCCGTGACTTTTGAGTGCAAGGGCCGATGCTCTAACCGCTGAGCCACACCTGCCAGGGCAGTCCATCCTTTAAAAAATATTTTCTATCTTTCAAGAAAAATTCACTTTTGATCATGTAGACTATTATTTACTCTTTCACTGCTCCCAGGAATTCCCTGCTTTGGGGATGAAGGCAACCCTACCTCCACTCCACAGCTTCATCTCTCCTCTTTGCCCCTGGGATCCAGTCATATGGACTTTATACTTCCTTCAGAGGCCTGTGCTTCTTCCCAGGCTTCCTGTGTTTGATACTTTTTACTCTTCCTACTAAGCACATCCTTTAGGTTTTAGTTCCAAAGTTGTCTCCTTTGAGGAGCATTTCCTTCTTTCTGAACTGGATTAGAATCCCCTTTGTACCTTTCACCACAGTTTACTAGTTGCTCATTTGTTGACTTTCTTATTTCTCTTCTTGAGTGGACTGTATGCCTCATAACGGAAGGGCCCCTGTCTGTTTTGCTCACCCAACCTCAGCTCTGACAGGATGCCTGAGCACAGTAAATACATTTTCACAAGCAGATGCTAAACTGAAAATGTGCTTCAATTTTTACTGTAGAAAAACTAGAAGATTTAATTGCTTTGACCAACTTAATTAAAGAATCTTAGCCTCCTGAAATTGCATTGACCCTTATTTACCAAAAAGAAGTTGAACTCGGTGGCTCATAGAAATGGTGAACTGTATACCATGTATTATAAACTTGATACGACTCTTATTGTAAATTTCGTCTTTTTTCAGTGGTTATTAATGGCTTCCATTATGATCCTAGAGCATAGACAGAAGTGTTTACAAACTCTTTATCATCCAGTGAATTTTGTGTAAAATACCAGTTACAGAAAATTTTAGAACTAAGTAGTTTAATTTATAATTGTAAGCTTTCATCTGTAAGCTAGTGAACTACTAGTTAAGAGTGTCAAATATAATTGAAATAGAATTTATCTTTCTGGTATAAGATCTGACCCAATGCACAGAAAAACCCCAAGTATGTTCAACATTAAACCCGTGATTAATAAAATGCAGAAGAGAGTAATGAATCTGTGCAAACAGGATTAAATAACAGCATATTATAATAACTGTTTTGTAAGCATCCTTACATAATTCTACCAACAACTTTTATATGCTCAAGTGAAATGCCAAGCTAAAAATTAGTGAACTGCATCAGAATCATTTGAATAGTTTTTAATGCACATGAAATTGAATATAAAGCAGTTTACAAATCAATTCTGCAAGCTTATTCAATGGACTGAAGGTCAATGCCTACTTTTATTCATTTCTCATCACTTACATTACTCTTTTCTTTTAAAAACAATTCACTGTCTTTCTTAAATTAATGATCATGCAAGGCATGTAGTTTGCTCCTACAGTTTAGTCATGTACAAGGTGGTACAGATGGTTTTTTCTGCATCACTAAGTTTATATGACCATGTTATAGTGCATTACAGATTTAGTTGTCTAACTGCCGTTCATCCGGAAGGAATACACATTGAGAATTTTGCTTACTGCTGGCACTTTCAGGCATGAAATATAAACCACTAAATGAGTGCAGTCCTGTTAGGGTATTAATACTGAAAAACTCCCTTGTAATTTAAGTCTCCAGAGTTTACTATATTTGTATTCTAAATTTAATAACTAAAATAGATACAACTTAGCCTCTTTACTAAAATGTTCAATACATTTGAAATAAACAGCTGAAGAATGTTTTAAACATTCTTCAAAATAAATATAAGCAGGGATAAACTACTTGCAGAACATAATTTTGTTTAAATACACCACTTTCATATAAGGAGAAATATAGTTTCTAAAATACATGAACTTAAAAGTAACAACTATGACAAGTTCTTTCTCTGGATATGTCACTTTGGTGGAGCTGCTAACTACAATTTAGAAGCTGCATCTCCATGTATCCTGTGTCATCGAACTAAGAGCTTTTTACTTCTCTCTAAAGAATGCACGTTGATCTCCCCATTGTCTTTTTCTTTGAAAAACTGAGAATTTTGACTTTAACCAGATATGGGAAGATGTGAAATACTTGGCCCATGGTCAAATAAGAAATCAGGGTAAAGTCAGAATAAAACAGTAGTTTCCCTGATTTAATTTCAGTTTGTCCAAAATTTGCTGTTTTCTTGGACCATAAACATCCACTTGAGAATCTAATGAGAATCATAACTCTTCTTGAAGTAAATGTAGATAAATTCATACATGCGATTTCATTTATTATCTCATAGGTTGAATAATAAATTCCCCTTCCCAAACCAAAACCCTTCCATTAACCTCCCCTAGAATTCCCTAAGAGAACTGACTGTTAATATTACTTCCAGTTTTGATGTATTTTGCTTATATCTTTGTGCTAATCACAGTTCTCACAAAATTATAATGATTGAAACTACATTTCTACCCTCTCTCTTAAGGTAACGAGACTTTAGAAAATGGTTTTGCTAAACTTTCCCAAATTGAGAAGATCTCATCAACCTGAACTGTTATGTATCTATATCTCTCTATCATCTATCACATCTATCATCTATCATCTATCTATCTATCTATCTATCTATCTATCTATCTATCTANATCTATCATCTATCACATCTATCATCTATCTATCTATCTATCTATCTATCTATCTATCTATCTATCTATCTATCT